TTTGAAGTCAAACTGCGATTTTTTAGCAAAAATATAAGCGTTTGAATATGGTCTTACTTTACGAATGTATGGGAAAGCCCTGATGGTGTACTATTCAGTACACAACCACGCAGACAGTAACTCCGAGTGTCGAAATGAGCTAAAAACTAATGATTTTGCTTTAGTTTTCTAACAATATCATTCTAAAAATTTAATTTAATGCTGAGACTATACTTGTTTTAAGATTTATAGGATTTCCGAGGTTAATTTGGCGTGTTTCAAATCACTTAAAAATATCCACACTTTCGTGGCATAGCCACACTAAAATATGACCAGCGTTTTTCCGAAAAATGAATTTCAGAAGATAACGTAAATTTATCGAGAATTTATCTTATTGTCTATCGAGATCGAGTCTATCGAGAATTGTCTATCAAACAAGCTACCTATCTTAGCACAAGCGAACTGTATACGAACTTATGCAGGCTCTGAAACTACTAAGGTCTCGTCTAAGGAATGCCAACAGATTCTTCTGAGGAAAAGCCGACGAATGTAAGAGCGGAGAAGATAAAAGACTCTGTGTTTACAGCCTGTCATGTGACTATCAAAGACCGGCTTGCTGATGATCAATTTTTTCATGATATTTATGCTGAGTACACTGTTTTTTTATTATTTTTTATTCCAGGAAGTATTCTTTGCTTTACGCCTTTTGATAGTATGACTATTAACTTTATTAAGGTTCAATATAGTCCAATTCTTCTCAATTCTTCGACTACAACACTCATTGTTGTCACTTCATCGTTTTATGATATATTCAAGCAGAACCCCGAGTTCACGCAGCTATGCGTCTAGTTGCGTGGTATATTTTTGAACGTTTTAAAATAAGACTAACGAATAAACAGCAAAAAAAGGTGAAACTTTCCGAGAGAACTTCTATCATGCTCTTCAAGGTATTTTAGTACTTTAATGTTGTGTGTCTGTGATTTTAGAATTTTTTTCGACTGTCATGTGCAAACCGAGTAGTCGGCGAGACTGTAATACGCGAGGTGGAAGAAGACAGAAATTCAACGTCTACAAATACGCTCAAATCACTTAAAAATATCCAAACATTCGTGGGATAGCCACACTAAAATATGACGAGCGTTTTTCCGAAAAAGGAATTTCAGGAGATACCGTAAATTTATCGCGAGAATTTATCTTACTGTCATCGAGATCGAGTCTATCGTGAGAATTGTCTATCAACCAAGCTACCTATCCTTTAGCACAAGCGAACTATATACGAACTTATGCAGGCTCTGAAACTACTAAAGGTCTGGTCTAAGGAATGCGAACAGAGTTCTTCTGAGGAAAAGCCGACGAATGGAAGAGCGGAGAAGATAAAAGAATCTGTGTTTACAGCCTGTCATGTGACTATCAAAGTGAGATCGGCTTGCTGATGATGAATGTTTTCATAATATTTATGCTGAGTACACTGTTTTTTAATTATTTTTTATTCCAGGAAGTTTTTTTTTTTTTTTGCTTTACGCCTTTTGATAGTATGACTATTAACTTTATTAAGGTTCAATATAGTCCAATTCTTCTCAATTCTTCGACTACAACACTCATTGTTGTCACTTCATAGTTTTAATATATTCAAGCAGAACCCCGAGTTCACGCAGCTATGCGTCTAGTTTCCTAAAATCAGGCCTGGGTGTTCTTAATCCACTTGTTCTTATACGTACACTTGTTCTTTTACTGTATATGAATTAATGTATATGTGTTGAAAATGAAAGCAACAATAGTGACCTTACTTTAAGATTATCTTTGAATGTATATACACCACTTGTTTTACAGCCACGATGCCGCGAAGCATCAGAACAGCTTGCGGGACTGAAACTTTGAGCAATACAATTATAATCGCTTCTTATATTTCTTGTGGCTAAGTCACTGCATAGGTTTCAGTTTTTGGCTGACTTTTTGTTAAAGAAAAGAATATATATATTAAAATCATATAAAAATTAATGAGTAGTTTTTACGTTTTCCATACGTGATCTTGTCGTTACTTTCTGACTTAGCCCAGGGCAATCGTCTGCCTTTGCATTCGAAAACGGGTTACGACAGGTACGTACACGTTTCCAGGTAGTAGAACATTTGCACCACTCACCCCACTGACTCCAAATTCCATCTGAGAGAGAGAACTGTTTTATCAAAAATAGCTCTGTATTAGAACAAGGGTTGGAAGAACAAGGATTCTATCGGAATTAAAGAGGTAAATTATGTCGTATTTGTACGCCTGAAATGTCCCCAATAGCTCATAGTCTTTGAATATTAACCTGTTTCTTTGATCATAACTGTTTTAGTCTATAACAGTGGCACAGTGAGAGTGAATGTGTGGCGAATATGTAAACTTCTTGACAATGTCATAAATTGCTATAAAATTACCTTAATCGGGCAGTACTGCGAGCCTTCCTTCGAGATGAGGTCACTTGGATGTGTCACGTGATCAAGATCATTCAACTCGCACGTCATAAACTGTCCACTCACGGGACCCAAATTGTACGATACACACGGCATATTTTCTTTAAAACATCTTGACTGACATTCTTCTAACCCGGGAGCTAGGATTCGAAAGCTGTTGATCAAGTGACCTCTAAAGGTCTTGTTTTGGACGCAGGGAAGATAAACTAGATCTTTACAGCCATTTTTACCTTTTTGCAATAAATGGATAACAGTTCTTTTTTCCTGAATTTCGAATTTCAACGTTTTCAGTTAACTTACAAGGTCTTCTCATTTTACATAGGAATTGATCGTGATTATTTTTTTTTTTTCAAGTGATATGCATTTTTGCTTGAGCTTCAGCTTGTATTTTCATAGGGAAACTATTTTCACCTTTTAAAGGTTTTGAGAGTGTCTTGTAATTGCCCAGCAATTTATTAAACCGTCCCCTTATTATAGCCATTATTCAACAAATAAAGTCTAATCCCTAGTTTATTGGCTTCTAAGAACAACAATTGATCGTTTTCACCCATTCCCATGAGATTCAAAAGATAGAAGACCGGCGGCCATGTTGGAGGAATGAACAATAGATACTAATGAGAAATTATTTGTTAAAGTTCCTCCAAGATGGCCGCTGTGACGTAACCTGCAAACCAACAATTGAAGAAAAAAATCCCGACCCACCAGAGTGAATAGCTTTAAAAATTGGAAATATCACATTGATCCTGTGGTCTATCCATATCTGATGTACTAGTGAAAATAAGCATTTTGTGCGACCTGCCATAAAATTCAACACATATAGTTTAATCCCTAATTTATTGGCTTCTAAGAACAACAATTGAAGAAAAAATCCCGACCCACCAGAGTGAATAGCTGGAACAGCTTTAAAATTAAAAATATCACATTGATCCTATCCATATCTGATGTACTAGTTGAATTGAGCACGCAAAAGTGTATAGTTAGATATTTCTCATTTTGTGCACCCTGCCATAAAATTCGCTTGCTACGACTCTGCTTAGTTGTCACGGAAAAAGGCACCTGAATGTTTAATTGTCCAGTTGGAGATATGATTTCTTGATATTTGTTGTACTTGGATCTTAGATATGGTTTGCTTTTAATTCTCTTCTGACTTTATTGGTCGAATCTTCATTTCAGCTCTCTTAGCAGAGTACAAATATCCTTTCCAGGCATACCACACAATACCTTTAGCGAACTCGGTAGTTGTACCGTTGAGGTACAGACCATTGAGGCTAGACTTATAGCATCTTGAATGCCACCATGCTCCTTTAAATGTTTGAGCACAATTATCAGTTGGATTAGAATCGTTATCCCGATCTTTCGTCGAAAAGAATTGATTGTTGTGCTCGGCAAGTGAATCTCCAGCATTTCCTAGGAAATAAGGGAACAACAATTTAATTTATCACTAATGTATTAGATAAAAAATAATAAAAAGAAAGAAAAACATATATCATCAAATCGATCGAGGATTAACTTGTGGCAGAAAAATTGTCTCTTTTCAAATTTGGCATATTGTTTGGTTAAACTAAAACAAATCGATTTTCCTTTGTTTCAGAGCTTGTTTAGCACAAGCAAGCTCCCGAAGTTATATCATAATATGTTGTTGTCTGTAATACATACACGTAAATTCAATGAATTAATATTATAAGGAAAATCTTTTCATTGGTATTAATGTAATGAAGAAGAATGAAATTAGTAATTTTCTCAGCAACGCCATTACGATAAAATCTGCCATTTTATATACTGCAATTTTTGCAACAGCTTGCAATATTTTGCGTCGATGTACGAAAATCACTATATGACAAAGAAAATTCACCTTTATAGTTACCAATAGTCAACTTGTACAAACTGGATTCATCGCTCACAGCAAAATTATCGTATTCAGCAAAGACAGTGTCTTCCAGATCAACACGAAGACTGTGTCGACTTTGTTGGGTCAGTTGGTGGATCTTGTCGAGTCCCAACCAGAATTCTCCAGTTAGACTACCAAAACCAACCTTATAGTCTTGCCATCCCAGATAAAAGTCTTGTGAGCCATCTTGTCTTCTCTGGATAACTGTCCATCCACCGCCATTAGTTTCTTGATCACAGAATAACTTTAAAAAAATAACGAACAAGACACTAGAACTTTTATACAAGCTTAGCTTCAATCAAGTATAAATTTTCATTGTCTTGTTTGTAAACAGAGTGATTGCATTACAATATGATCTGTGCTGAATAAAAGGATTTATTACATGCTTTCGAGGTTAAGGCTGCACAAATGAGATCTCTGTCCAACTTTCAATATTCTTTTGCATCCACCGCCATTAGTTTCTTGATCACAGAATAACTTTAAAAAAATAACGAACAAGACACTAGAACTTTTATACAAGCTTAGCTTCAATCAAGTATAAATTTTCATTGTCTTGTTTGTAAACAGAGTGATTGCATTACAATATGATCTGTGCTGAATAAAAGGATTTATTACATGCTTTCGAGGTTAAGGCTGCACAAATGAGATCTCGAAACTGGAGTATTATTGTTATTTTCAACTTTGTGTCATCCTAATATGTCAACAAGTTATATGAAATTAACATAGAAATGTATTGAAAATGAAAACAACAGTGACCTTACTTTAAGATTATCCTTGAATGTGTAGACACCACTTGTTTTACAGCCACAATGCGAAGCATCAGAACAGCTTGAGGGGACTGAAAATTTGAGCATTACAATTAATAATCGCTTCTTATTTTTCTTGTGGCCAAGTCGCTGCATAGGTTTCAGTTTTTGGTTGACTTTTTGTAAAAGATAAGAAAATATCATATATTAAAAATACATAAAAATTATTGAGTGGTTGTGCTACCTTTTCCAGATGTGATCTTATCGTTACTTTCCTGACTTAGCCCAGGGCAATCGTCTGCCTTTGCATTGGAAACCAGGTTACGACAGGTACGTACGCGTTTCCAAGTAGTAGAACATTTACACCACTCACCCCACTGACTCCAAATTCCATCTGAGAGAGAGAACTGTTTTATCAAAAGTAGCCTTTGGGAAAGTTGGTATATTGTGGACTAAGTATCATTTGGCAAATTGCGGATACATAAAAGTGACTTTAATTAGCAGATATTTATTAGTTTCATCGTCTACTTTACTCACCAGTGCACCTGAAAGTGTCATCATGAAAGTCTGGTGTGCATAGCTCTTTATTAGAACAAGGGTTGGAAGAACAAGGATTCTATCGGAATTAAAGAGGTAAATTATGTCGTATTTGTACGCCTGAAATGTTCCCAATAGCTCATAGTCTTTGAATATTAACCTGTTACTTTGATCATAACTGTTGTAGTCTGTAACAGTGGAACAGTGAGAGTGAATGTGTGGCGAATATGTAAACTTCTTGACAATGTCATAAATTGCTATAAAATTACCTTAATCGGGCAGTACTGCGAGCCTTCCTTCGAGATGAGGTCACTTGGATGTGTCAAGTGATCAAGATCATTCAACTCGCACGTCGTAACCTGTCCACTCACGGGACCCAAATTGTACGATACACACGGCATCTTTTCTTTGAAACATCTTGACTGACATTCTTGTAACCCGGGAGCTAGGATTCGAAAGCTCTTGATCACGTGACCTCTAAAGGTCTTATTTTGGACGCAGGGAAGATAAACTAGATCTTTACAACCATTTTTACCTTTGTGCAATAAATAGATAACAGTCATGAAATAAATTTAAATACCTCACTTAAGTTTTGTTACTATGTAACTTGTTATTGTTAACTGATTTGAAACTCTTTATTGAGCGATCAATCTTAAGTCAATCTTTTCCGAAGTCTTGGGAGTTTCTGACATGGCCAACAGATTTTTATTATCATTAGTTTAGATCAGGGTAGAAGCGGAAGGCAATCATCAAGTAATACACTATCGTCCACTGGAACAGCTGGATCATTTAACAGCCTCTGAGAATCTAAGTGCATTTTCTGCTCGTGAGAAGAACAAGTGTCATGACCTTCGATGATGGCCAGCTTCACGAGAAAAATAGAGAATAGAGAAAACCTGAGGTATAATTTCTTCCTTATAATCAAACTTTTAAAATGATCAAGCAAACTACATTCCTAGGTGCATGGCCAAAATTCTTCAAACTTTACAAAACATGATGGATCGGAAGCTATATCCATCCAGTTCTAGTATCACCGTCCGTAGTGGTGGCCAAAGATCCGACAATTCTAGTATAGATGGGGTTCGACAAAGAATTTGGCTGTTTGCAAACTTCAGTTGTATATTAGGTTCAAATGAATTTATAAAAGATTTTTTAGAAGCTATGCAAGACTGCATTCATCAATAGGCTGCACCACGACTTCTTGTTCTAGTCAAGACAGTGAAACCAAAAGAAGAAAATACATTCTCATTTATTTTCATAACACTTCAGGACAAAGTTTACATATTTGAATATAAAGACTGTATTTGGAAAGGACCATGAAGCAAGTGATGGCCAGATTTCAAGCAAACTGTGCTAGTTTTGGGGGATTTGACCATTAACTGTAAGAGGTGAAGTGAAGGCGAGCTTCCTAAACACCTTCGAACAACCTGTAGTCTCGAAGCTCTTGCTAAAATCATTGTAATTGGCTGATCAGAACAGGCTCTATTGTATATGGTTATGTGAAAAGATAAATTTAACACCGTAAAAAAGTATGTGGAAAAACTTACTGACGTTTCGGATGTTAATCCTTCGACGAAGGATTAACATCCGAAACGTCAGTAAGTTTTTCCACATACTTTTTTACGGTGTTAAATTTATCTTTTCACATAACTGTTTCTTTAGAAACACCGACGCAGCTCACACTAGTTTACCGCTAGTTCCCACCATTTTTCTATTGTATATGCTCGGTTCTGATTTAGTTTCACTCTGCGTTGAGCCAGCCAATTAGAGTGCATGATACATAAGTGTGAAACAATTCTTAACTAATAAGCGACTGACTATAAATAACATTTAGTTATCAACTAGCTAAGAATTCTTTGAGGCATAATCAAAGATATTTCCTTTTTGGTATTGTGTTCATGCCCCAGTGAATTCTTAGTTAGTTGATAACTAAATCTTATTAGTTGTTGATTGTCAAGAATTGTTTCAGGATTTTTTGGCGCGCACTCTAGCTACCAGCGATGTTCTTGGAAGCTGTTACCTCAAACAGCGAATGCCTGTCGTCAAAACCAACCTGGATGAGTTTTGTTTTGTTTTCATACCTGCTTAATTCGCTTTTACATCCCGCTGTTGTTCATGTTCTTATAATAGTTTTTGTTAAAAAAAAAACAATACGCAGTATTGCTATATTGTACTCGCAATTATCGTCATCACTATAAAATTTGTTAAGTTTGAGTCAAAATTTTAATCAAAACCTGAGGTTACCACTGTGTCAGGCTGCTAATTTGGCAAGATCGAACATACACCTGCTCTGCATGTTTGAAGATGATTTTCAAGAGTATTTTTGAGGCTGATTTATATTTTTTTAATTATATCTGATTTACCGAATTTGAAGTTCATTCTTATGGCAAGTATCAAAATATGAAAACGGCAAGTGATAGCAATTCAATTCTAAGAGGATTAGCGAAAAAAAATACGAAGAAGAAAAAAAAGAAAGAAAGAAGAGTTGAAAGATGTGAATGAGGCTATTTTTCAGAGTCGCCATGGCAGCAATATACTATATCTTGATAAGCACTAGTATTCATTTCCTTTATTTTTATATCGTGTATATTATAGTGCCATACGGTCCTCATATCAATATATATCCTGATAAGATAGTCAAGACTGATGTAAAATAAGAACCTTCATCCTCCAAACATCTAATTTATAATGCTTTATATACATGGTAAAACATCGTGTTGCATCCTCAAATGTCAGACAAAATTACCGGACAACTTACCGTTAACCAGGCGAAACATAAGAATCCAAGTGATGACTGCTTTACTTATAGGAAGCATTACGGAAAACATTAAAAAACTGGCGGGTTTTTCAAGGTTTTTGACTGCAACACCTGTGTTGCACTTCGTCTTTGACGACTCTCTAGAAAAACACTGAGGAGCTCATAAATATCATGTATAATTAATTTTTATCATATATACCTCAATTCAAACACGCGCGCTGATTGGCGGATTTCACGAAAAAAGCTATGGTTTATTTCGCCGGTAAACCTGCTTTCTTGAGAGACTTTTGAGTCTAAATGGGACGCCGGCTATAATACAAAAGTAATAAACGATAGCTTGAAACGGTAAATCACGGCTCGTAATTTAGAGATCTTTTCTCGTGTTCTCCCAACCATCCCGCGCGGTTTATTTTGCAAGTAAAGCACTTCAAGCTATCGTTTATTGCTTAAATAACTAAACCTATCGATGAAATCGCCGCATTCCTGTACATCCCGTATATGTTATTGTTGAAGATACTTTGAAGGAATACAAAGCTCCAATAATAGATAAAAATGCCGTGGGAATTAGAACTATATTCAATTTCAATACATTGAGGCAACCATTGAAATTGGTGAAGTTAATATTATTTTACTTTATTGGATAAGATGACTTTGAAAAAAAGTCTGTAGAAGTTTGCGTTGTGATCATGCGTAAGGCAATGTAGCTTTGGTGTCAGCATTAGTGATGTGTGTACTTAGCCGTTGTGTAGTCATAAGCAATTCCTCCCGGTTTTATTCCTCAGCTTTTTGGTCTAATCTTCATTTCTGCTCTCTTAGCCGAATAATAATATCCTTTCCAACTGTTCCAAACAATACCTTTAGCATACT